CCTTTTTGAGCCTATGCTAACCAATGGGTAATCTGGATCTGCACATACTGTTGGACTAAGAGGAAGGAAGTCAAAGGACAGCTGTGTCAGGCAGTGGGGTTAAAACACTGGAAAATGGTTAAACCCCTAATGGTGCCAATATACTCCTACCCCAATAACCACTCCAATGAGCTGAAGTTATTATAAAGGTGGGAATGTGACTTTAAAAGGTTAAAAGATCAGCCGAAGCACTATCACAAATTCACACCATCGCTCTGAGAATGGCTTAGAACTGTAATACATCGTAAAAATCGCTGCAGCTCTAAGTTAGCCTATAAAAACCATTATTCTGGCCGCAGGGTTACTCAGCTCTGGCTGCCTGAAATCAGTTTTGTCCACACTCTGCACACACGCCTTGGACCAAGATGTTTTTCCTTCAAGTAGAATAAGTAAAGTTACAGGCGGTAGTGATGGTGTCAGCGGCACTGCTGATCACACGCACAGCTTTGGTTAATAAGCAGTAAACTGTTAACAGATGCTCTTTAGCATTTCTACTAATCCTGTGTGATGAGTCGAACGTCTCTTAAGGGACAAACTATCTCTCCCGTATATACCTGCTGAATAGAAGTCTATGGGATAATAATGGGCCCCATAGACTAAAATTTTAATCTGCGGATTTCTTTCTGCTCAGGGAAGAAGCAGGCAGTCAAACCCAACGCATGTACAGAATAATTTAGAATTTTTTTTTTTATTATTACTATTATTATTTTTTTTAAATTTAACGTGTATTATTTTGTAATATATTTTCTATACAATGCTTTAAAAAAAAAAAAAAAAATCTGCGGGTCATTTTCCACCTATAGCTTCTCTTTAAAGAGGAACTGTCAATTCAGAACTTCTAGCACACCTAAAAACCAAATGTTCTAGTTGTGCTATTTTTAAAAGAAAATGTATTTCTTTAAATATGTTACACCTCTCATGCGGCTCTGCACACTACGAGGGTATAGGCTGAGCCTGCTGAAATGGAATTTCTCTGTAGATGTCCAAGGTCATGCGAGCGAGCCATAGGAAACACTGCGAAGTCGCACAGAATGCCAAAATTTTGCCTAGATACATTTTCCTACTTACCTCCACTGATTAAGTCATCCCAGTAAATGCTGCAATAGTATTTTTTGGTTGAAGGTACAAGGTATTGTCACTTCTTGGGAAGGTGGGTTAGTAGAGGAGAGAAGGGGTTAAAATGGTTGGATGGAGAATGTACTAAAGTATTGTAATAAAGGAGCCTGTGTCAGGGGAATCTACATTAAGGGTGTTCTCTTCACCCTAGATCTTGTTTGATATAATTCTCAGCTGACAATGGGTGACCTCTGAACCCCTCGCTGACAAGTATATGAATAGGGTCCACAGTTCAAGCAATTGGCTAAGAGAAGCAGCTGGTCCATGGCTCGGTACATGATGAAAGGAAGATACAGATCTTCAGACTGATTGAAGAGAGCCATGTATGGTCCTTGGACTCACAAATGGGATTACACAGCATGCTGGCAGGTGTTGCAAAAAAAAAAATACTACTGTCATAAAAAGGTGTTTATCCTAATAATGTATGACTGTTATGTCTGTAATAAAGGTAAACAGCGTGTGTATTCTAATTGATCATGCTTATCTGATGTTCCAACAAACTTCATACCTCCGAACATTTCAAATGGTCATTGGAGGGGATTTGCTAATAACGAGTTATGAAGCTACAATGTAATTTGTAACAAGATAACTCAGTCTGATTATCATTGTGAAGCTCTGTCATAGACTCTCACACTAACAATATGGAGATTCCTAATAAGAGAGACATTAGGATAGATAAAAGGGACAGAGAGATATGGGCCCAAAATAGGGACTGTCCCTCCTAAATCGGGACGCTTGGGAGGAATGCACCCCTTCCTCATCGGTAATGTTTGGCCCTGAAGAGATCTGTTACTGTGCCTCCTGATGTACCTGTCTTTGTGGTGTTGGGTCCTTAAATTAGATCCGGCCTTGAGATATGTGTGCTCATGTTATATTAGCCCTTGCGGTATATGGGCCCTTATGCTGTATTAGCCCTTGCGGTATATGGGCCCTTATGCTGTATTAGCCCTTGTGGTATATGGGCCCTTATGCTGTATTAACCCTTGTGGTATATGAGTCAATATCCTGTATTAGCCCTTGTGGTATATGAGTCAATATCCTGTATTAGATCTTGTGGTATATGAGTCAATATCCTGTATTAGCCCTTGTGGTATAGGAGTCAATATCCTGTATTAGATCTTGTGGTATATGGGCCCTTATGCTGTATTAACCCTTGTGGTATATGGGCCCTTATGCTGTATTAACCCTTGTGGTATATGGGCCGTTATGCTGTATTAGCCCTTGTGGTATATGGGTCAATATCCTGTATTAGATCTTGTGGTATATGGGTCAATATCCTGTATTAGCCCTTGTGGTATATGAGTCAATATCCTGTATTAGATCTTGTGGTATATGGGCCCTTATGCTGTATTAACCCTTGTGGTATATGGGCCCTTATGCTGTATTAGCCCTTGTGGTATATGAGTCAATATCCTGTATTAGATCTTGTGGTATATGAGTCAATATCCTGTATTAGATCTTGTGGTATATGGGTCCTTATGCTGTATTAACCCTTGTGGTATATGGGTCCTTATGCTGTATTAACCCTTGTGGTATATGGGCCCTTATGCTGTATTAGCCCTTGTGGTATATGGGCCCTTATGCTGTATTAACCCTTGTGGTATATGGGCCCTTATGCTGTATTAGCCCTTGTGGTATATGGGCCCTTATACTGTATTAGCCCTTGTGGTATATGGGTCAATATCCTGTATTAGGTCTTGCGGTATATGGGTCTGTAACGGACCGTTTTTAAGAGGTTAAAACCGTTTTGGCGATATTCCCCTTTCTCAGCTATACAGACAGCTACTGCAAGCACCAATCTCCCAAACTGCAAACCCACAAATTCACCAACTCCCGAACTGGAAACAAGGGAATACTCGAAACTCCCGAACTGCATACCAAGTAACACTCCCAACTCCTGAACTGGAGACACATGAACAGCTGCTAGCAGACAGGGCCGGTGCTATGATTTTTGACTACACAGGTGAAGATGCATTTTGACGCCCCCCCCCAAAAAAATAAACAATGCATCTTCACCTCTGTGTCTCGTAGCCCCCTTTTGAATTTCTTACCCCCATTAGTGTTGCATATCCCTTTAGTGTGTCTCCTACAACCCCTCTTATGTATTTCTTACTTCCCCGCCAGCCCCTATCTATCTCTCTTTTTCTCCCACATAGACATAGATACAGGCAAAAATACATACATGCACAAATACACAAACATACAGACACACAACCATACAAGCACACAGACATAATTTTTCAGGCACACAGTCACAAAGATATACAGACACACAGTCATAAAAGGCACACAAACAAACAGTCATACAATCTACATGTAACGGACCGTTTTGCACACAAGGGGTAAAAACCGTTTAGGCGATCGGCCCCCTTTCCAGAGATACAGGCACAGCTACTGCAGAACATCAAACTCCCAAACTGGATACAAAATAGCACTCCAACCCCCGAACTGGAACCTCCCAAATAGCTGCTAGCAGACGAACAGGAAAAGCTCCCAAGCGGCTTACACTCCTGGCAATCAGTCTCTAACAGCATACAGTGAATCCCCCCAAGAACGAGACAAGGCTCCGTGTTGAGGGTCAAGCAGTGGTCTGAGGTGCTGGCACACCCAGCCTGGTTTTTATTACAGTCTTGCAAATACAGGACCGCCCACAGGGAGGTATAAAACAACCAATCATATCACAGTTACATCCCACATATTCCCTCCCCTTATCCTGAGAGGAAACTCAATTATACAAACAGTTAAAACATACTTTCTACCCAACTTTCATAACTCCAAAACCATACATCACATTCACATAAAATTACATATTCACAATCAATCCATTCAGGGGAACAACATATTCAAAAATGGCATGTATCAGACCAGGGGTTCAAAAGTTAGTAAAAAGTCCTTTGTGACTAAATGAAGCATGGCTTTCTGGCCCAAACCAGTTTCAGAGTCTTCTATCCTGGAGAAGTAATTCAATTATCTCCCAGGATAGACACAGACTCCATTAAGCACATGGTTGCAAAAAGACACAAAAACACTTTAAAATACATAAAGTCACATTTTATACATAAAACACAGACATTTCACATATCCCCAGATAGCTCAGGTCTGAGCGCACATTATTAAGTGAATGGCGCTCAGACCACACGAATACAGTTTAATCGCCATGGAGCCAAAGTCTTTACAGTCAGTTTCATACGAATGGGCTCCATGGGATTCCTATCTGGGGTATAACACATTCAAAAAATCTACCGAACCCCAGGCAGAAAAGCACAAATACAGCTTTTCTGCAGGCAAAAATAAAGTCTTTTAAAAGGGGGCCATAGTCCAAAGGCAGCAGGCGAGCAACCAGGCTTCTCCAATGCAATGTGGCGAGATTGGTCTCGTCACATCTCTCCCCTTTTCCAAACAGACTAACAGGGTATGTGACCTCCTGCCGGTCAGTGCCCTTGTTAGTCCAGCAGCCCACCCACAAAACATAATCAACAGCACAGCCCACCCACAATAAATGGTTACTACACCTGGGTAAAGGAGAAGCTTGTCCATGCCCAGGTGCCTCACCACGGCTGTGCTGGGTACGGGTACGCTGACTGGGTGGGTTGCTGCGTGGGCAGAGACCAGCGGCACTCTGCCCTGTTGCCAGCGCTACTGGGAGGGTAGTCTGGTTGAAGCCTGGTTGTTGGAGGGGGAGACCGACTGTCTCCCCTTTAACTACACCACTCTGCTGCTGGAGACCG